GGACCTAAAATCTCAAGAGCAGGGAGTGTGTGTTCAAGGAACTCAAGAAGGCTGGTAAGGAAGCAAACCAGAATTGGGGGGAGGGGGGGAATGCAACAAAGATTGCTGCCAGAAACAGACCCTCAGCCAAGGGTGTCTTCATGATCCACACAAATGGCTGTATAAGAACAAGGAGCTTTCAGTGAGCATGCCACCCATCCATCAGCTTTGTGTTCTAAGGAAATGATTGTGCTTCTCATTCTGATCACTGCTAGTCACTGTGGAATAGCAAGATCTGCCCAGGAGTGTGAAGTACCAGCACAGAGCCAAGGCAGTAACTGTCATTGCAGACACCAACACTAGGAAGAATGTTTTCAGTGACAGACTTCCTGTTCTTTCTGGCCAGTGAAAAGAGAGCATGAGGTAACATGGACAGTGTACAGAACGAAGACTTAACTTGAATGTCAGACCCATCCCATGCAATCTCTGTATCTCATGGGCAACTGAGTGCATTACCGAAGGAACTTACAGATTTCTTACGACTAGTAATTTGTAGACAAGGTTGGGATCGTGGTGTTGCAGTAGTATAGTGACATTAATCCCCTGGAGATGTTTCAGCGTGCTTGATGATTGTTCTGCACATAAAGATTACTATATCACAGTAATCTCTGTGAATGTTGTACGTGGAGGAGGCAGTAGCCGGCTCCCTAAATTAAACACTGTTCCATTATTACCATCTGGGAGGCAGTTGCTGATCCCCAGGATCATCTCAGACCATTTCTCAGGGGATAGTCTTCCGCGATGCCATCCCCAAAGACCATGTTTTCTTGGCAAGAGCCAGTGGTGACGGATTCAAAACTGGAATTCCTCTTTCGCTCTTTAGTAAATATAACGAATGCCACACTGGCAGGCAAGAATAAGCAATGGCGTGCCTCATTTCTATACCATTCTTATTTCTACTAAGATTGGGGCACTGGCAGTGAACTGGATGCTCTTCCACCTGGAAGGAAACACAGTTTTGAATAACTATTGAAAGCTTCCCATTTCACTCGTCTCCAGCAAGGGGCTAGAGCAGAAGAAGAGTGGGAGAGGAGAAAATGCCTGAAGATCATGCTTCCATAACTCCTCTTCCATCCAACACCATCAGTCCCTTCTTTTGATATCTTGGATACAGTGGGGAACACATGACTGCTGTGGTCCTGTGTCTTCCCCATGCAACTCCCCAGTAGTCAAACATATGGTGAGATCTCATTGTGCTCAGAGTTTCCAGGCAGCCTATAAAATACCCACATCTTACCAGGTCATTTGATAATACAATTTGCACTAAACTTAGGGTTGAAATGAAGATGTTAGAGTGTACACTTAACAGATTTCTAACCTTTTGGCTCTGACCAGAAATTTAATTCCATCTTTAACATATTTTGTACTTCCCTCGGAATATGTAGCTATCTCACACTGAGTAATGAAATGGCATTTTACTTGTTTCCAGTGTCTTACGTTTTAGGCCTCTACAAATGGATAAAGAATAAAAATCCATTCCAGTCCTAAAAATGTTGCCAGATTGGAGTCAGAAAGTTCCATGCTGACTTTATAAAGCAGGGCTCGTATAATCGGGTTCTGGATTGCCCGGTTGATAACTAAAGACGCAAGTGGGAGGAAGTAGTATAGCCAGGTTGCCAGCACAAGGTCAGAAAAGGGCTATACAAATGAACAGAACATCAGAGACTATTAACCAGGATTATGTGTGCATATAGAGCCTGGAAAATGGCCTGGTCAAAACAACTTGCTGCCATAGTCCAAGACTCTGGAGTGCAAAGTGTTGTGCCCCAATATTTTTCAGTGACACCGCAGGAGGTCCTAGCTGTCCATGTCTCAGGTCGCACAATGTTGCATTAGCAACTGCTTTGATCACTTGTGTAAGCCACCCTGTTTGCTTTGTAGGAGCTTCTAAAAAGATGGAAATCAGTTTTTAAGGAGCAACCCAGCAGTTCTATGAGTGGCTTGTGCCACTTTCTCTAAGAGTCTGAAAGTGTCCGGATGTCACCAGAAACAAATGACTGGTTAAGTAGATTACTGGAATCCTGGCCTACATTATGGTTATATGCCAAATTGTTCTTGCATAACAATTTAGAGATCAGAATATTTGTGTACGTTGAATAAGAGTTAAATAAATTGATATTGCTAGTGTCTAACTGTCCTTGCAGCTAACAGTGAAAAGCGTGCCTGTCTGAGTATAGCACTGTAAATAAGCTAATGAAATCAAGAGGTTCTATTGCTCATGCCAACCAAGGAGAATAAAAGTTGATTACTCAAGTTCAGAAGTCTGATGTGGGGCATTGCTATTAACTATCGTTACTCATCTAGATTTCCAGGTGGTGGGTCACCCTGGTTTCTTGGCTTGCAGTTGTTGGGGGAAATATGTGATGGAAAGATCTTCTGTTTTAAGAGAACAATTTCTTGGTCTAATGGCCCTGACATTAGAAGCTAGAGGTTATAAATCATTCTGTATAGGCAAAATAAATCATTAGCTTTCTTCCTTATCAATCAGATCTCCCAAGTTTAGGTAAGACAGGCAAATGGGGTTGCCATCATCTTCACTGACCATGTTGCTGTACCTTTAACAGTCCAACACAGAGAAATTGGTTAGGTACAGCTTGTTTCACATGGAAATAAATCAATGGTAAAAAGTTTCACCTATTTACTTCCTACTTCTCTAAAAAAAAAAGCTTGAAGCTGTATCTCTCCCTTCTAGTTTGATACAACTCCAAAAATTCCATCCGTCACCCTGCAAGCTCATAGACAACCAATTGCTCACCTATTAATATGGAAATTTGATTACCTAACTCTGTGATAAGAACAGAGCCAACAAGCCAGCAATTTTGTCCTTGTCTCGCCCTGCTCTGCATCTTAACTTTCCAGATCAGAAAAATTCTTAACTCTGTGGTGTTGTTTGCTGAGCAAGCTGTGGAAGGAGTATTGCAAACTGATATGGTTTATGCATCTGGAAGAGAGGGAAACACAAAACTTTGGAGGTCCCTAAAATCATTCCACAAGACCTGCTGCTAGGGAAGAACCCTGCATACTTTTCATTACCTGTGTTCTGCTGTGTGCATGGCACCTTTGGATATATGTATACATAGTAGGTAGCAGACTAGAAGTGACTTGTTTGCAGGCAGTGATGCCTTTATTGTACTCACAATTTCTGTAGAAAATGTGAGAAGCTACGTGAAGGAAGCTGCTGTGTATTCTCTGGAGCTCTGTACAATATTCTGCAGAAGGTCTCCTTCACATCAGCTAGACCTGCAGCAGCTTAAACCTTTGAATCTGTACAACTGACCATGCAAACCTTTGAGAGAGATCAGATCAGGGAAGATAATAAATCAATTATAATATAGCTCTTCTGTATGTTGCAGAGGTGTGGTGTCATGCATTCGTGTTTGAGAGGTACTTGCATTCCTGTTTTGGGAATGTTGAGCTTGATGGGAAATCGGGGTTTTTTTTTCTTTCTTGCTCCGCAAATGTTGGAACTGAGAAACCAAACCAGCCTTTTTTCTTTTCTTTTTAAATAAAACAGAAACATTTTTGGTGGACAGCTGAGTTTGTCGGTGGGAACAGAAACTTCAGTTCGAGGTCCCTCAGAGGACATGATATCAGAGCTAGGATCACACTGTGGCGGAAAGCCTATGAGGCCCTCTAGTAAACTCTGCTTGGTATGTGGCTGCAACTCCTTGTGCACATTCCCAAGGAGCTGGTTCTAGTACTGTTTCTTCAGTGCTTGGTCATGGGCCCTATTTTCCATGCTCCTGCCTTTTAAGAGTAGCATTAGTGTTTTTGTAGTTTCAGTTCCGTGGTGATAGCATGGATGCTTGTCAGACATTATCTAATATACAGAAATTTCAGGCGCACAGTCCACTGAGATTCCTCACTCTGTCTTTCATAAGGAGGACTTTTCACATTCCTTCCTGAAGCAAACCAGACCAGAGCTCACCAGCATGTCCATCCTCCTTATTATTTATATCCACTCTGCCATTTTTCATTAATCTAAGTGCCATAAAGCCAGAGCTGGACATATGAGACTGCATCTCTATTCTGCCGATGGCTCCCAACTTATAGTGAAATCTGTACATTAAGAACTGTATCTAAGACACCAATAGGGGAACACGTTTTCTTCTTAGTAGTCTGCAGACCCGAGCAATGAGGTGCAGTTCAAAAAAGAGTGGCTGGTTGTGTGCTTGGTTTCGGATTCCTGAAAAAAGTTGATGTCCTAGGGTAAAGATTCCACATTATGTGCAGCTCCCAGTGGGGAGGGCAAAATTGGGGTAAAAAACCCTC